CATTCATAAGGTTTCTCTTCTGAGTGAATTCTCTGATGAATAAGGAGAGAGGTCTTGTGGCTGAAGGCTTTGTGGCATTCCCCACATTCATAAGGTTTCTCTTCTGAGTGAATTCTCTGATGGATAAGGAGAGAGGACTTGTGGCTAAAGGCTTTGTGGCATTCCCTGCACTCATATGGTTTCTCTCCTGAGTGAATTCTCTGATGGATAAGAAGATAAGACTTGCGGCTAAAGGCTTTGTGGCATTCTGTGCATTCATAAGGTTTCTCTCCCGTGTGAATTCTCTGATGGAAAAGGAGATATGACTTGCGGCTGAAGGCTTTGTGACATTCCATGCATTCATAAGGTTTCTCTCCTGAGTGAATTCTCTGATGGATAAGGATATAAGACTTGTTGCTGAAGGTTTTGTGGCACTCTGTACACTCATAAGGTTTCTCTCCTGAGTGAATTCTCTGATGGGTAAGGAGAGAGGACTTGTGGCTGAAGGTTTTGTGGCATTCCATGCATTCATAAGGTTTCTCTCCTGAGTGAATTCTCTCATGGGTAAGGAGAGACGACTTGCGGCTAAAGGCTTTATGGCATTCCCTGCATTCATACGGTTTCTCTCCACTGTGACACCTCTGATGATACATCAGGCCGGACTTCTGAGTAAACGCCTTCTGACACTGATTGCACTCATAGGGTTTCTCACCTGTATGGGTTCGTTGGTGGTCGCTGAGGCTCTTCTTGCAAGAGAACATTTTTCCACATTCATTGCATCTGTAAGATTTCTCTCCTGTGTGAGTTCGCAGATGTCTGCTGAGTGAAGATTGTCGGATGAATGCCTTCCCACACTCATTACATCTATAAGATTTTTCTCCAATATGAATTTTTTGATGGTCAATGAGGCTAAATTTAAGGGGGAATATTTTTCCACATTTGTCACAGCCATAGGGTTTCTCTCCCATGTGAGCTTTCTGATGAATAATGAGCTTTGACATATGGGTGAAGCTTTTCTGACATTCACCACAACTATAGGGTTTCTCTCCTGTATGTGTTCTTTGATGTAAAGTGAGGTGTGACTTATCCCTGAAGCCTTTCTGACATATAGAACACTCAAAGCATTTCTCTGTGTGAGTTTTTTGGTGTCTATTATTGGGAAAAGCTTTCCCACACTTATTGTACTCATTGGGTTTCTCTCTGGTGTGAGTTCTTTGATTTTGACTAAGCCCTGACTTGCTGGTAAAAGCTCCACCACACTTCTTGCTCTTGTGTGGTTTCTCTCCTGTATGGTTTCTCTGGTGTAAAACAAGATGGGACATCTGGCTGAAGTCTTTCTGACACCAACTGCAGCCACAGGTTTTCTCTCCTGTGTGTGTTCTTTGATGCTTATCAAGGTCTAACTTTGAGGAATAGACTTTCTCACAATCACTGTGGTCAGAGTGTTTCTCTTGTGTTTCAGATTTACAATGTTTCATGAGCTGTAGCTTATGGCTAAAAACCTCTACATGTTCATTATCCCCATTGTTTTGTTTTCCAGTATGAGTTTTCCCATAGTTAGTACAAAGAAAAAGTCTATCACATCCATTAAACTCAACTTCATTTCTTACACCACTTCCGTTCTGAGTCATGTCCTCTAGATTAGGTTTCTGATGTTTCCCAGCTGTGTCCAATGTATGAGGTCTTTGGGCTAAAGGGACATGCCTGTTTGAGCTCAGGTAAGATAGTACTTTCCCAAATGTATGATATCTGTGGTCACTCTCCATTGTTTCAAAGCTGCTTTGGTTTTCTTGGTGCCATTCAGTACGATCATTGACTTGCCAGGCATCCTCTAGAAAGGAGACCAACAAATCCACAGTGATCACATAATAGAAATGATAGAATCTTATATCAAAGACCACGGAGAGAAGAAGAAACGAAAGTCTGAAACATTTATAAGAGGAAGAAACAAAACGTGGGCAGAAAACGAAAGTCTGAGACATTTATAAGTGGAAGGAACAAAACAATGGAACAAAGTACAAGTAGTATGGTGAAGAGAGGCAAATTTATGAATATGTGGGGGGATAGGAAAAGAGAGCTACAACTATGGGTTAGGACAGGGGGATAAAGGCAAAGAGAAAGTAATAAATGAAAGATGTAGGAGAGATAGATTATCTAAGTTCCTTAATAAACCACAGCATGATCAAAGTACAACAAAGTCAGGGGGCGCCTGTAGCTCAGTGGGTAGGGCATCGGCCACATACACCAAGGCTGGTGGGTTCGAGCCCCACCTGGGCCAGTTAAACAACAATCAATAACAACTGCAATGAAAAAACAGCCAGGCATTGTGGCAGGCACCTGTAGTCCCAGTTACTTGGGAAGTTGAGGCAAGAGAATTGCTTAAGCCCAAGAGTTGGAGGTTACTGCCATGGCTCTGCCGAGGGCAACATAGTGAGACTGTCTCCCCGCGCCCCCCCAAAAGCACATCAAAGTCTCACTTTGTATTTCAGACTACAATGTCCAGGCATCATAGTTCATAGCAACCTCAAACACTTACGTATAAGCAATCTTCCCTCAGCAACCAGAGTAGTTGGGACTGCAAGCACTAGCAACAACTCCAGGCTAGTTTTTCTACATTTTAGTAGAGACCAGGGTCTCACTCTTACTAAGGCTGGTCTCCAGAGCTCAGGCAATGCACCTATGTCAGCCTCCCAGAATGCTAGGATTACAGGCATGAGAGAGCACAGCCAAGGCTATATTTTCTTTTAAAGGGTGAGGAAAAGAGTTTTAGTATGGAAAGACTAAAAAATAGAGGCAATGATAAATTGTGAACTTATATCAGCTGTTTATAAGACATATTCAGAGCTTAAGAACCTCAAAAACATTTCTCCGTATTTTTCAAAGGTACTTCTCTACTACTGACCAACTAAGGTATAACTTCCATTCCTACCATAGGGCTGTTTTTCACTTACGTAGATGAATCTCATTCTGGATTTCTTCCTCTATTATCCACGGTTTTTCTTGCGCTAACTGAAAGAATGCATCTGCTTCGGTAACTTGATACCCTATTCAGAGAAAATTGATGAGGACTGATAGACCCAAATGCTTGGACTACAAGATTTCTGAAACTGGCAAAGGTTATATTTAAGGGGCTCAATAATTTGCATCTTGGCCATTTTACTTTGAAAGTGAAAGAAAAAAACTTTTGTTAAAGGATAGTAAGGTCCTAAAAACTACAATGTATAAAATTCAAGTATAAGGAAAATAAAACACTTGTGAGGCCCAACCCCTTTTATTACTGAGAAGGGAACGGTAATTGATTGCCTACACTGGAAGACCTTTGCTTACCCACTGATACCAGGTTGTTATAATTTTCCAACATCACAGCTTGGTACAAGTTCTTCTGAGAGGGGTCCAACAGCTGCCACTCCTCCCAGGTGAAACTCACAGCTACATCCTTGAATGACAGAGAGTCCTGTAATAGAATATTCCTATTCATTCTAAAGGTTTATGATGAAGAGAAACAGGAATTTCTTAGAATAACTTTTCCCATAGGTCATTTGGCTGCCTTCCAGGTAACTAGGTTTGTGTGATAGTTTGTAGGGAAAATATGATTTAATTTAAAATATCTCATCTTCCTAGCCCTCTGGGAGGCCATGGCAAGTGGATTACTTCAGCTTAGGAGTTGGAAACCTAAGCCAGAGTGAGACCCCCATCTCTAAAAATAGGTGAGCATTGTAGCAGGTCCCTGTAGTCCCACCTACTTGGGAGGCTGAGGCAAGAGGATTGCTTGAACCCAAGAGTTTGAGGTTGCTGTGAGCTATGATGCCATGACACTCCACCAAGAATGGCAGAAGTATCTCAAAAAACAAAAACATCTCATTTTTTTGCTTCCATTCAGTCATTCACTGAGTCACATGTTCACTCACGTATTCACAAGGAAGAAACTAAAAAACATTCTTATATCCTTTAACAAAGAAACCTAACAACCAACAGTAATCTAAGCTGTGCACCTATGTGTCATGCACTATGCGAAACATTCCTTTATATGTGTAAATAAAACTCACTTCTGCCACGAAGGAGTAGAGAGAAAAGAAAAAAAATAGAAAGTAGATTACTGATATACAATTTGTAGGCACCAATGGGCAGGAGAAAAAAATGGGACTAAGTTTTACAGACGTGAATCTGGAACTAACTCTTATGAGACCAAATCCATGTTTCACAATGTGTTGCCAAGGGGAGAGGTGGCATGGCATTCCATGAAAAACAAATATAAGAGATGGCACAATGAAACCACAGCCATCAGGCTGGGCACAATGACTCACACCTGTAATCTAAGGTGTTTTCTAAGAGGCTGAGGCGGTAGATTGCTTGAGCTCAGGAGTTTAAGACCAGCTTGAGCAAAAGCAAGACCCCGTCTCTACTAAAAATAGAAAAACGGAGGCAAGAGGATTGCTTGAGCCCAAGAGTTGGAGGTTGCTGTGAGCTATAATACCATAGCACTCTACCCAGTGGGACCACTGAGTTTTGTTTAAAAAAAAAAAAAAAAAAGAGGGTATACCAAAATAATAGGAAAAAGAGATAAGCACACTAAATAGTTAGGGAAACATACCCCAACTATTTAGGACAGTGGTTCACTATAAAAAAAGAAAAAAAGAGATAAAGAAATACATAATACTTGATGATAATAAACAACTATGTCACTGGTTTATATATTTACTGTATAATATTTTCAATCATAATTTTAGTCTTTTTATCCATTTACATATAAAAAACATTTACTGTAATATAGCGTCTAGGACCTCTTCTACAATAATTATCATATGCCTGACACAATGACTCACACCTGTAATTCTATCACTATGAGAGGCTGAAGCAGGAGGATCCCTTGAGCTCATTAGTTGAAGACCAGCCTCAGCAAGACAAAGACCTTGTCTCCACTAAACATAGAAAAATCAGCCAGGCATTGTGTAAGAAGCCAAATACTCAGGTGGCTGAAACAAGAAGATTGCTTGAGCCCAGGATAAGTTTGCTATGAGCTATGATGTCAGGGCACTCTACCCAGGGTGTCAAGAGTGAGACTCTGCCTCAAAATAAAATAAATAAAATAAAATAAAACAACTGTTATCACAGAAGATGACAGCTCTATGCATTTAACTGCACCAGAAGACTTTCCAAGGGGCAAGATGTAGAGATGGAAGACAGTGATACTGATGATCCTGAGTTTCTGAAGACCTAGGCTAGTGTGTGTTTGTGTCTTAGTTTTTAACAAAATAGTTTAAAAACTAAAAAATTCGGAGTAGAAAGCTTACAGAATGAAGACATAAGCAAGAAATTAATTTTTTTTTTTGAGACAGAGTCTCAGTTTGTGGCCCTCAGTAGAGTGCCCTTGAGTCATAGCTCACAGCAACCTCAAACGCCTGGGCTCAGAAGATTCTCTTGCCTCAGTTTCTTGAGGAGCTGGGACTACAGGCACCTGCCACAATGCCTGGCTCTATTTAGAGATAGGGTCTTGCTCTTACTCAGGCTAGTTTCTAACTCCTAAGATGAGGCAATCCTCCTACTCACAGAGGATTACAGGCATGAGCCACTAGGAAGAAACTAATTCTGTATAACTGTACAATATGTTTGTATTTTAAGCTAAGCGTTATTAAAAAGTCAAAAAGTTTAAAAAATTAAAAGAGTTTGTAAAGAAAAGATGTAAAATAAGCTATATTTCATTTATCATGAGAGAATTTTGTTTATAAATGTAGTATAGCCTAATTGTACAGCATTTAGAAAGTCTACAGCAGTCGACAGTGATGTCCTACCTGGACCTTCACATTCACTCACCACTCACTCACTGACTCACACAGAGTAACTTCCAGTCCTCCAAGCTCCTTTCATGGTAAGGCATATAGACGGACCATTTTTTATCTTTTCTATATTTTAACTGTACCTTTTCTGTTCTTAGCTACACAAATACTTACCACTGTGTTATAATTGCCTACAGTGTTCATTACAGTAATGTTCGGTATAGGCTTGTAGCCTGAAAGCTAGAATATATAGCCTAGGTGTGTAGTGGGCTCCACCATCTAAGTTTATGTAAATATACTCTGTGCTGTTTGCACAGATGGAATTGCCTAATGACGCCCTTCTCAGAATAAAGTCTCATTGTTAAGAGATGCACGAATATATCAGAGACAAGATCACCCCTCAATTTTAGTGTTTAGAACTTCACGGACTATATATAATCTATGTCCTATGTTTACACTCTCTGTATAAACATACAACTTACATGTTCCCTTTGCAACGAGGCTGTGACAATGATCTTTAATTTCACTGTATTTTTTCCTGAATTTTGATATTTATCTATTCATGTTGTATCTGACATAGACTAGCCCTCATAAATACTGAGCATGTTATTCTTTTATTTTTTAATCTTTTCTTTTTTTAAGCAGAATCTCATTTTGTCACCCTTGGTAGAGTGCCATGGTATCACAGCTCACAGCAACCTCCAACTCTTGGGCTCAAGTGACTCTTTTGCCTCAACCTGGGATTATAAGTACCTGGGATTACAGGAACCTGCCACAATGCCTGGCTATTTTTAAAGACAGGGTTTTGCTCTTGCTTAGGATGGTCTAGAACCTGTGAGCTCAGGGTAATCCACCTGACTTGGCCTCCCAGAGTGCTAGGACTACAGGCATGAGCCACTGTACCCGGCCTTATATTATTCTTTTAATTATAAATATTAATACACTTCCTTCACTTTTCACTAGAAAAACAAAATGAAAAATCAATATATAAATGAATGACTCACTTGGGACATGGACATTTTCTGGAGCCCTTAGATAAGACAGCAACTCTAATATGTGCCCAGCTGTTGATTCTGAGTTCTCTAAAGCTGGTCTCTGGTCAAGGATAAAGTGCTGATCTTGCTACCTTTACTTCCTTCCCTCATAGGAAATATTTTCTTCCACGATACCAGGACCTGAGAATTAAAGAAATCAATTCTGTAATAACTGTAAGTGTAAGAGATTTTCTGAGTTGTGTGGCTTCCTATATGTATGTGTTTCAGACACCCACAAACATACGTATAATTATCTAAAAGTTAAGTGTGTTTTCTTCAGGTGATAGGTGAATATAATAAAGAAAAATAATCCACAATACCTAATTGTCCATTTTTTAATAAACATGTTAATTATTTTATAATACAACAACAAAATTATCTTCATTAAATTATGGAATATTGCCATAACTATCCTCAAAACTTAATCTTCACGTAGATAAAGGCAGTTATCTGTCTTTAAAATAAAAGGGGAAAAAGAGAGAGACAAAGGGGGGAAAAGTACAAAATGAACAAAAAAAGTAGAATGGTGTTTGCAAATCTATTTGGGATACCTACTATATACTAAATACTTTCACTGCATGAGTAGTTACTACTGATTTTTTTTTCACCAAATGGGGAACAGTTTCAGAAGAGATTGAGAAACTTGCCTAAATTAACACAATAAGTACAGAATCCAGATAAAAATGTATGTCAGTCCAAATGCAAAGTTTATATCCTCTTCTCTATGCATCAAACTTACCCTGCAGGTGTTCTCACTGCTTACCTAGAAAACATATAAAAACCAATTAAAACAATTAGTAATAATAAAAGAGTTCAGGAAGGGAAACAAAAGAAAATATTTCTTAAATTAGCTGCTTTTCTACCTACCAAAAAGTGAAAAATAATAAGAAGCTCAAGTGGAAAGTGCTACTTGCAGTAGAAGGAAAAGTATACATGATCTTGGAAAAAAGTTAACAATATCCAGACCTGTATCAACAAGACTTGGTACCAAAATCAGGAATGATGGAACAGATTTATCATATCAGGTCAACTTTTGTAAAAAGCTTATACTAATTGTGGGTTAGCACATTTTTATAATAAATCACAGAAAAATATGGAAAAGAAAATAAAATGTTAACAACATGTACCTCTGTAAACAAGATTTTGGGTGTGGGACTATCCCCTTATGTATCAGAAGTTAAAAGGGAATTTGAAGAGCAATAAGACAGACATCAAAATGTTAATAATAAGCATTTGACCTTAGATTTGTCTCAACCTTAGTCATTTCAAAGCACTTTTTTTTTTTGTGAGCCAGAGTCTCACTCAGAGACCCTGACTAAAGTGTCATAGCATTACAGCTCACAGCAACCTCAAGTTCTTGGGCTCAAGTGATCCTCTTGCCTCAGTTTTTCTATTTTTAGTAGAGCCTGGGTTTCACTCTTGCTTAGGCTGGTCTCAATCCCTGAGCTCAAGTGATCTACACACCTTGCCTCCCAGAGTGCTAAGATTACAGGCATGAGCCACTCCACCTGTCCTCAAAGCACTTTTCATTGTTGTGGAAACACTGAGGAGTGGGGGGTATTCAGACCAACAGAAAAACTTGAAAAGCAAGTTTTAAAGAAGGCAGTAACTAGAACTGTGAGAAGTCAGTGGACTTTAAAATCCCCTAAACCTTCCAAACTTTAACAATTTCTGAAGCTCCAACCCCCACAAATGTCTTGTCTACCAGTCCTTGCCCACACAGCCACTGCAGATCATTCTAGTGTTGAGTCCCAAACCAAACTATCAGTCTTATCAAAATGCTTATGACTTTAAGTGACCACTGAAGACCTTCAAAGAGAAGAAACAAGGCTGCCCTAAACAATGACCTTCTCAGAAGGCCACCTCATTCACTGACTATCTCTAAGGATGTCCTAATCAATGACCTCCCTCCTCCCAAGTATATCCAAACACTGACCTAAGCCAAGAACATCTAAATCATTGACCTCCCTGTTAGGTAGGCAGGTAGGAATGGCTGTCCTGTGGATAGAGGACAAGGGCAGAACCCCCAGGCAGCCATCTTGGTGCTGCCTACCTTCATTTTGACTCGAAGAGATTGCTCACATCTAGGGAAGAGGGACACCCTACCAATCTACCAAGCAGAACTCAGCATGCCAACTGGAAAAAGATGTAGAGTACTCTCTAGCCTAACAACAGGTACAACAGAGACTTCAAGATGACCTAGAACAGCCTTAAAACTATCATGTGGCCCACCACCACCCCCATGGGCTTCCAAAGAGATTCATGGAAGGTACCCATGACCAGTAAGACTATGGTTCCAGGTGAATCACCAGGTTGGACCAATCTCCAGACCATAAGAAAGAGAACTCCCGGCCAAAGGCCTCTTTGCCCACTTGCCCTGGCAATGGAGGCCCATTTGCTGCTCATGGAGAATATGTCCTGCTTTGTACATTTTCTTACTCTGTAAACCTATTCTTCCCTTTGTCAATAAACTTTGTTTCACACTTGCCTTACTTTGGGGGATCTGGTCATTTTTAGGCCAAGAGTACTCAGACAACCAAAGATCCAGGCAGGTGTTCCAAAGCCCAACATTTTAGGATAGAGGTAGCCTCCTTGAAACCAACATCATCTCTTGGACACGTCAATTAGTGACTCCTCTCTCAAGCACATCCCAAGGATTCCCCTTTCTCCAAGGATGCTTCAGTTGGTAACATTACCCACTTCCACAAGGCTGTCCCAAGAACTGAGCTTCCCCCAGAAGACCTTACTAACCACTAATGCACCCCCAAAGACACCCCAGCTTCCTTCCAGGACACCCAAATCACTGACCCCCAGAACATTCCAATCGCTGAACCACTCCCTAAGTTACCAATCACTCATCTGCCTCCAAGTCCTCTGCAGTTACTGGCCTCTTCTACAAAGGCCACCCCAAGCACTAACATCCTGTTCTAGGTCACCCTGGTTCCTTACCATCCCAGGCCAGCACCATTCTCTACTATTCTGCTTCTGCACAAAGATCTGCTACTGTCAGGGAATCCTCACATGCTTCCCTATCATACACCCTGTATCTTCACAAATCCAGCTCCTGATTCTGTTCCCAGAATGCAAAACTGAAACTCATTAAAAGATCCATAGCACATTAGCAGGGTTGAAAGAGCCATGATCCATTACTACAACTTCAGACTCACAAACCCAGGTAATCAACCTCACTGCTTATGTTGAACTGTTAGCAAATGAAGAGGTCCTGGGCACCTGTCACTGTCAGCTAATATGCAGAGACAGGGAGGAGCAAAGGAAATTTTGCCCTAAATATATGACTCCTTTGTATAAAGAATATTTTGAATTAAAGGCCATTCATGATCAGGAAGCATTGAAAGAGGTCTTTCCTCTATCTACATAAAACCTGAGTAACCTGATTGAGAATCAAAAAGGGGCTGCTGACTTCTTTATTACATGCTGATTGACTGATCATTTTTGAGGCCAAGAGCACTCAGATAACCAAATGGAGAAGCATGATACCTGTCTCTCAGGTTAATCTACAAATCAATCTGTTTCCGCCCATCTACACATATCCACCCCGCCCCGCCCCCCACCCAGCACCCACTTGCGGCACCTATACTTTCTACATTCTCCTCTCTCCCTTCCAAAAGGCATCTATAAAGGTCTCTGACTATCACTGAGACTGTGGGAAATTATTCATGCGTTTCCCCCCATGCACATGGTATTTAGAAGCAAACGTTTCTCTTATTAATCTACCATAATTGTGAGTTGATCTTTCAGCCAACCAGATCAAGGGAAATGGGAAGGTTTCATCCTGATCCCTATAGTAGCCTCTCCAAGACTGTTCTGTTCTACCATTTCCAAAATCACAGTCTTACACCTAAAAGTTCAAAGCAAGCACTACACCATTCCTTATTCCAAATAATAATCAGAGTGACTCAGTGACCTATACAACATATCGATTGAAAAGTTAATCTCCTATGTAAATTTACCTAAGCTACTCAAGATAGACATCTTTAGTGTGGGAGCTAAATATATAAAACAGTAAGAATGGGAGACTGGGGTGAAGGTCTGGCAGGACCTGAACAGCTTAATCTGCCTAACTCCGTATTATTCTCACTACAGGTGATTTCAGAACCTCTGTAGCTGTTGGGGGTGCCTAATACAGCCACATATGAACCCTTTCCCCTCCTCCTCCTCCTAAGAAAAAGGAGACAAAGCATAGGGCTAGCTCGCCCCTCCCTCCACGTTCGCACTAAAGACCCTAACATTCTTGGGAAGTTGTGCAACTTGCCCACTCTCTACGGCCTGCTATTAAAGGGGTCTCTAATATCCCCGGGCGCAAAAGCCACCTCTGTACTGTCAGGCAGGTTACCTTCCCCTTTCAATAAACCTGGCCTGAACATCTTCTGCCTCCAGTCTCATCTCTGGGCGCCACGGCACCTTTGGGGAGCCTTCGAGTCTCCAGGCTGTCAACCACCATCCGGGGCAGATTCGGTTCAGCCTTTCAGAATTTCAGACAAAGACCCTGAAAAAAAGAGTACACTAGCGTCCATATAGCAGTTCCACGTCGGGGCGACTTTCCCCCAGTTAAGTATTTTTCAGCATTGGGCATACCGCAAATGTCTCAAACGGCGGTGCGCATGCGTTCTTTCCTTCTAGCGGGTCCAAGCCCTTTCTAACCACACACTCAATCCAGCATGGCTGCCTCCGCTTTACCGCTTGTAGGCAGGAACCAGTACACTATACTGACAGCGGGCGCGGCCATCTTGATGAAAGTGTATATATCCGTGTAAAAAACAGCACGATGTGTACTAGGTTCCTCCCAGACGCGGTGTATGCACTTACCTTAACGGCATGATCACTATCTCTGTACTGCAATTGCTTCTTCATACCCTTTTGCGTCCTCAACATCTTCCTCCCGTCTCCCACCTGGATGCGCAAGCGTTCTCAAGATATTCGCCTGCGGGCCTGTTTGCTCTTTTTCCTCCCTAGACAAAGGGCTTACATTTGTACGGACACCTTGGGCAAAATTAAAGTTTTCTCCCCTGCCCGCCGAGGTGGACAAAGCCCGTTCTTTGTCTTGTGTAACCTCGAGCCTGTAGCACGGGAATGAAGGTGCCAAGAAATAGGGTGGTTTCGGTGTTTCTTGACTTTTCCGAACTATCCCCTGGCTACTTGGACAGAAACGGCCACTCCGCTTTCTGTACGTCCAGTACGGAAAGATGTCCGCCTCGGGATCCCTGACGAGGTGGCCACCGACCTATCACTCCAGCAACGAAAATCCGGAAGTCCTATCTTCTGCACTCGGTACAAACGCTTCAGGTCCTCTTCGGCCGCCGTACGCCGGCTGGGAGGCTGGGAGAGGACCCAGAAGTGGAAGAATTCGCGGAAGTGTGGGCTCTGAGGTCCCGGTGGCTTCACGAAAAAGAAATCAGGTTTGTGTGTGAGTCACTGTGTGAACAGGAGGAGGGGACGGGGATGTTGGGTCTCCGTGGAGCTGTGGGGTTGTCGGGGGAGCGGAGGCAGTGGGAGTGTGTGACCGCAGTGTGGGTGGTTGCGGTGCCTTAGGAGTCAGTCGTGAGGGGTTCCGGTGGTTAGTGATTAAAAGGGCCTGTGAGATCGACCAGGGAAAGAAACACCGTGGTCAGGGCCACTCTGTCTGTAGGGCTCAGTAATTGAGGATTGGAGTGGGGAGTGGTTTCGTCAGTGAAAGCAGTATCTGGGGGGGGGTTCTTTTTCTTTTCTTTCTTTCTTTTTTTTTTTTTTGGAGACAGTCTCAAGCTGTCACACTGGGTAGAGTGCCAGTGACGTCATCGTAGCTCACAGCAACCTCTAACTCTTGGGTTCAAGCGATCCTCTTGCCTCAGTTTTTCTATTTTTAGTAGACATGGGGTGTCGCTTTTGCTCAGGCTGGTCTCGATCTTAGAGCTCAAGCTATCTACCCATCTTGCCCTCCCAGAGTGTTAGGATGACAGGCCTGAGCCAGGGTGCCAGGCACAGTATCTGGTTTGGATTCCGGATTTGACATGTGGGTCAGTGAGAGAGGAGCGTGGGCTCGTCATGGTCAGTCAACTCGGGTGCAGGTTTCGGGATTGTGACCAAGGGAGCATGGCCAGTGTTGAGGGAGGAATAGATGTGCCTGTCATTGGGAGACAGATTCAGGGCCCCTGGTTGGTGTGTGTGTTGAGGTTCAAACGTTACATATCCCCTTATTACTTTAGATTTCTCTGCAAGGACTAGTTTACGAATCTCTTTGACTTCTCACATTTTTCCTTTCCTTGTCTCCGTACATAGGAAATATTTTGGAAGATCAGGATTAATTAAATCTGGAAAGGTAAGGTGTCTGTTAAGATAAGGATTTTGTCCTTCCTGCAAGTTCACTGTGTGAATGTATGTGTATTCACGCAAGTAAATATTTCTTTTTAGATTCTTTGTCATGAGTAAAATAACACCTCTTTTACCCCCAAATATGTTCCCCAATGATGATGATACAGGAATTTCGTTCTTCAGTAGGTTCTTCTGTTGTGCCCAAGTTACAAGGTCCCCCATAAATTACTCTGAGACTGCTCCAATGCAAAAAGGCAAGAGGCGGTTTTATTATCAGACTCGAGTCAGGGCCTTCTACTCTTCCCAACGCAGCAGGAGAGCAGAAGAGCCCGGATTCTAAAATGGAAGGGGGTTTTAAGGGGTACAGAAAGAAAGAAGGGAAGGGTAGTACTTGTCTTAAGCTGAGTGGTCTGGGTAGATGCTGTACAAGGGGGCAAGTTATGGGACGTGTGCACAGTGGAGCGAAGACAAAGAAAAGGAGAGGGGGTGTTACACAGCTTCTCTGGTATGCAGCTTCTCTAAGTATAGCATAGGGAGTGAACACAATGTCCTTGAGATGCAGGTGCAGCCTGAAGCTCTGGGTATGGGCAGTTTAGGGAGTAGTTAAAATAAAGTTAGTTTTGGCCCTTATACTTGGTCTCAGTGATTGGAAGAATGAATCCCTCGACCACACATCAGTGGTAAGACAGGATTTATTTATGGAAAAGAATACAAATGTGGGTTGGCGCCTGTGTCTCATTGAGTGGGGCGCTGGCCCCATATACCAAGGGTGGGAGGTTCAAACCTGGCCCCAGCCAAACTGCAACCAAAAAATAGCCAGGCGTTTTGGAGGGCTCCTGTAGTCCCAGCTACTCCGGAGGCTGAGGCAAGAGAATTGCTTAAGCCCAGGACTTGGAGGTTGCTGTGAGTGGTGATGCCATGGCATTCTACCAAGGGAGATAAAGTGAGACTCTGTGTCTACAAAAAAAATAAATAAATAAAAAATACAGAAGCATCAGAGCACCTGGAAGAGAGAGAAAACCCAAGTCGGGAGAGAAAAGCTTTCTCTCTGTTTGCCTGTCTATCTCTGGGCTATTTGTCTAGGGGTATATATAGTTGCATGGGATTCTCATTAGTTACATTTAGTATGTCTGGAACATGTCTGGGTTGTGAATGAATGGTTACAATCCCTTTCATTCCCAGGCCTAGGAAATGGGGCCCCCCTCCTTATGCTCCAGCCCGCTGGTTCCGCTGCTCACTGCCACCGCACCAACACTGCCAAGGTAGAGGCAGCCAGTCCGCGCCCCCCAGCTCCATGAACTGGCTGGGATGCCACTTGTCCTGTATCAATGACTTTCTTTTTTGTTTTTTGACAGAGTCTCACTCTGTCGCCCTGGGTAGAGGACGTTAGCGTCATAGCTCACAGCAACCACAAACTCATGGACTCCAGCTATCGTCTTGCCTCAGCCTCTGGAGTAGCTGGAACTACAGGCACCTGCCACCCCATAGCTAATTTTTCTGTTTTTAGTAGAAATGGGTCTTGCTTTTGTTAAGGTTAGTCTCAAACTTTGGAGCTCAAGCATTCCACCCATCTTGACCTCCCAGAGTGCTATAATTACAGGCTTGACCCACTGCACTAGCTTCCCAATGATGACTTTTGATAACATTTTGGTGTATTTCAATTTTAATTTTCATTTTTCTGTTTGATTTTTGCAATTCAAATGAACTTTTGAAACATTGGTTTAATTTGCCTTACTTAATTTTATATAATGAATGTTCACATGGTAAACATATCATAAATTTTTTTGTTTAAAATTAGTTTTTAGCCTGTAATCCTAGCACTCTGGGAGGCTGAGGCTGGTGGATAGCTTGAGTTCAGGAGTTGGAGCCCAAGCAAGAACAAGACCGCATCTCCACCAATAATAGAAAAAACTAGCCCAGCATTGTGATTGGCCCCTATAATCCCAACTACTGGGAAGGCTGAAGCAAGAGGATCCCTTGAGCTCAGGAGTTTGAGGTTGCTGTGAGCTATGACACCATGGCATTCCATAGGGCAACAGAGCTGTCTTTAAAAAAATTTGTTTGTAAATCATTTCTGTAATCTTACACCATCAAGAGGCAACCATTAGATTGGAATCACTAAGTATATGTAATATTTACATAGAAATTTTTTTTCATTTCAGAATATCACAGGGGTACACATGTTTTGGTTACATCGAGTAGATGGAATGGGGGGAGAAGGGGCTGGGTAAATTCACACCTAACTGATTCAATGCACATACCATGGGTGAAGGCCACATTTATGACTTTAACATAAAATGTATAAGAGCAAATTATATAATTGAAGTTCCAAAGCAGGTGAGACAGGAATGAGCACCTTGTGTAGGTCCCTCAGGTATGGTGCTGGCTAGTTAGAGCAGACACACATTCTTCTTCCTGAATAACATCTGCTCTGTTCCCTCCAGGATACCACATTAAGAATACTGGCTGCGGGCTCGGCGCCTGTGGCTCAAGCAGCTAAGGCGCCAGCCACATACACCTAAGGTGGCGGGT